AGCAGCAAATACTACCGCAGTGACCGGCATAACACCAACAACAATCATTAATACAGTGATCAACTCGTCAGCCACAACAACAGAAAGGAAGAACGTTCACATTCTTCCTACTGATATTCGAAGAGTTCTTGACCACGTCTGTCTATGAGCTCAAATTTTTGTGAGTTTTTATAACGCTATGTGTCATCATTTCAATCATCTAAACACTAGGTATAATGTTGCGGTCATTTCCGATCCGTGTAACAAAGTAGGCGATGTGATAGCATTTAAGTTCAATCAAAGGCATCATGTCGTAGGCTTATTTAGGAACAAGTTGTATCGAATGTGTTCTTAATTTTCTCTAATCTGTTGCAAATGAAATACCAAATATTGCTGTACAAGTGCTGAGTCTCTTCTTACTAACAGTGAATAGATGTTTACTCAGTGTACATAGAGACGTAGAACCAGACAATAAACGAGATTAAGTCGAGAGTCATAATCAGTAAAATAAAGCCGATATTGAAAGGATTTTGGTTATCATAGGAGTATAATCTACACCATCGATCTAGTTTTCAAATCTCATTGGAAAAATTGTTTGAAAAACAAACTAAAACTTTTTTCATAAAATAGCCGTCAAAAATTGCTCTAATATGACAATGTATGATTGAATTCAATGGAAGTTTTTTTAATTTAGTCGATTTACTATAATGAAAGTCCCTTACAATTGAGTATAAATTTAATCGATTTTAGTGGGTTTTTTGTGATTAGAAATCTGCTTATGAAAAAAATGCGGAAAACAGTATTTTCTACTCCAACGTCTAGCAAAAGCACTATTCTTATGTCTAAGCTCATCATTTATTTTCTCTCCAATCGACACTATTCAGAACATCGTTCTTCAAAGAATGCATTAGTTGTTGTGCACTTGGCTCGTGTATTTGCCATGTATTAAAATGCGTCTCTTCAGCGTTGTTTTACTCAAAAACAACCAATAGTTACAAACGGCTGTGCGGGATGTGAGTGTAGATGTGGATATGAGCCTTCAATTTGTCTATACCCACACTCGCGCCATACATCCACATCCATAACTACAGTGCACGCCAAAAGTTCTGGGACAAACTTTTCGCTTTTATAATATTATATTAAGAAGTTATTGTGAGCAAATGGTGATGTACTTTGATAGATCTAATAGCGATCTTTCATATACTATTATAGCATTAGAATTAAATGTTTCCCATGGGATAAAAAATTAGGATATATTCACTGCGAAACGCGTTAATGTCGACCGATTTAACGCGTTCGCAACGTTTCCCATGGTGAGAAACGTATATAACTCTTTTTTCCACTTACTCAAAACGCGTTTCGAGTCACAATTACCGGATGAAAACGAAAGTATATCGTCTCGCGGCGTTTTTAACCGATTTAACAGCTGCGAAACGCGTTAAACCGGTCAGCATTAACGCGTTTCGCAGCATTTAAAAGTAACGAAATTTTTCCCATGGGTTCTGTAACAAGTTATATAAATTTCAATATTAGCCTCTTGGCCAAAAGTTCTGGGACACAGCAGGATATTCCATTGAATACCTAATATTATATACGAAAAATGCTTCAATTAAGCTGAAAATTTCAGAATTTGTAGTTCTTAGGTAGAAAATATTATACACAAAAAAAAAGTTTTGAAAAATCGAATAGTATTGTAGTTTGGTGAGAGCAACACGAATAACATCTTCTGATCTACCCCTCAAAAACTGATTTCATCTCAGGTACGTTCAATATCGCATGAAACTTTCAGGATATGTTGTAAGTACTGCCACTAATAAATATCCAAAGTTTCAGCTCATTTCTTCATACCAATTTTGAGATATTTCAATTTTAAGGTCCAAAAATTGCACTTTTTCAATGCAAAAGTTCTCCGACGCCTTACGTGCAACATGACCAGGGATGGTTTTAAATTATAGAAGACATCTGGCTTGAGCTTACTACACTGCCCGTTCTTTTAATTTCTCATTAGTTGTTTAGTAAGCGAAAATATACGGCAACATGGGTAAGAAACTGTTTCAAGATGCTTAGGGTGTCGGGTGTGTGGATGTGGGTGCGCGTGTTAACGTAGTTATTCTTAACCCACACCCACACCCTCCTGCAGTGTCCCAGAACTTTTGGCCAAGGGGCTAATATTAAAATTTATATAACTTGTTACAGAAACATTCAATTCTAATGCTATAATAGTATATGAAAGGTCGCTATTAGATCTATCAAAGTACATCACCATTTGGTCACAATAGCTTCCTAATATAATATTATAAAAGCGAAAAGTTTGTCCCAGAACTTTTGGCGTGCACTGTATATGGAAGTGAAGTGTATATCATCGAATGCTGACTGAGTAAGAAAAGCTATGGGCGCGAACAAGAGTCGTATCTACAGCCATATTCCATCCTCACACCCTTATATCAATTTTATTCCTTTCTTAGTTGCATAATTGTGAACTAACTAAAGCTGTATTTTTAAATATATTTTAGAAGTCAAAAAAAAATTAAAATAATCGCTTTATAGCACTAATCATTAATGTTAATATTGCAGTCATCCACAAAAATCATTGAGAATAGTTAACAATAACAAGATGGATTTCTTAACTTAACCAAAAAGATAAACAGTTCACCTCTATATAACTTACTAGTTATATTAAAACCAATTTTCTAAACTAATTTCATAAAGAACTGAATTACATTCCCATGAAAATTTTCTTATAATCATTTAATTGGAATTTTTCGGAAGCAGAAACTTACCATGCATTACTAAGCCAATTCACTGGATAACATATACTATGAGCAGGAAAATGACCTATACTTTTTAGCAGCCCAGTAGAATCGTTCAGTGTTGTATGGGTACATATAAATATACTGCGACATGACTAGAAAAAGCATGTTTCTTTTTTTTTCTCTCGACGACAAAGAGTGAAAATCGAATAGAATACTTAGAATAATGTCAATGAATGACAATATATAAAATACTGCATATATATGAATGGATGCTGACCATTTTCTTCATTCTTTGATATTACTTACAGAAAACAAGAACCCTTTTTGTTTAGTTCTACAATAACACAAATCATGATTTACTGCAGATGTTTCATGAATCTTAATCAACATTGGCGGTCGAACAAATCAATGCAGAAAATAAAACAAAATTTGTTTATATTGAACAAAAAATGAGTTGCTCTTTTAATATAAGAGAAAAAAGTCAACATGTGATCTTAGACAATGCATTACAAGATTTTGTGCCTACTACCACAGTAATTAAGTAATAAGACTTGGTGACATATATTCATCAATTACAAATATTGATTAAATGAATTTGATAAGAGATATGAAAAACTTTGTTGAGAACTGCAATATGACATTGTTAGGATGATTCGAAAGATCAATGAACGCAAGTTAGTGACTACGAAGTGAATTAAAATCTCTAAGCATTAGTTCTAAATTATCATCAATCATCAAAAGTTTCATACGAGAGTGTAAGTGTGAGTGAAATGTGTGTAGCGAGTTTCCTCATTCCTATCTACCTGAAACTCACATTCACTCATACCTAATACATAGTATCTAGATAACGTCGACGTAAAATTTATTTGATGAAGATCCACCGGAACTACCTATTTTGAGCCAAAACGATAGTGTGTATGTGTTGCCAATCGATGTCGCAAATGTTTGAGCAATAAAATCGATACCATTGCGACATGTATCTTTATAGCAAATACCTGAAGACGAACGACATTGTGCACCAGATTCCATCCCGCCTGCGGTGTTGCCACACGTGTTCGAACACAATACTACCCAATCTATTGGTGTTATGTCTGAGCTTTCAAAACTAGGATTCCTCAACAACTCTGTACTTGGTGCGCTTTGAGCAACAACAGATACTTCGTCCAGAAGGTAAGCACGATTATTAGCATTTTCAAATCCAAACATGATATAATGCGATGTATTCTTTGCTCTGAAGTTGTATTGATATTGAGTCCAAGTAGAAGGAGAGTCTCCACTCAGAGTCATCGCATTTCCGACTCCAACTGCTGTACAATTCGATACTGTGATATACGAAGCAGATAAGTAATAAGATTTGCAGTTTTAAAAACTTACGTGATTGCATAGTTGTGGTTGTGCTTGTTGTAGTTGTGCTTGTTGTTGTTGTTGTTCTTGTTGTTGTTGTGGTTGTTGTTGTGGTTGTTGTTGTTTTTGTTGTTGTTGTGGTTGTTGTTGTTTTTGTTGTTGTTGTTGTTGTTGTTGTTGTTGTTGTTGTTGTTGTTGTT